AACTCCTACCAAAACGATCACCAAAATGGCAAGTTCAGCCATGCACCGTGCTACCGAGTTGCTGAGTTCAGTTCGGACGAGATTAGAATCTCCGGGACCTGTTCGACAAGTCCATGTTCCGCAAAGACGTTCGTCTTCGGCTGATCGTGCGAATATCAACATAAACAATGCTGAAATGAATAGTTACGAAACATGCTCAATGCAAACTACTTCGACCAGCTCATCTGCACATTCTGGATTCCTGAATTTCGCACTGCCTACCACCGTGAACTCGGATGATCCGTTACCGTTACCCGCTTGTCGTTTGGGTGCTTTCCAAGCGGAGTGGTTAGGTGGCACGAATGCCACATGGCGACTGGTCACACAAATTGCAACAATGTCCCCTTTGGCTCAGGTGAACGGAACAGAACCAAATTTGAAGTCACTAATCCGAGTGAATAAAGCATTAAAAAAAGAGCAAACATTCCTGAAGGCTAAACTGGATATTTTATACGACGAATTGGCCAAACGTACTGCCCTAGTGCACAATCACGAGCGTCAACTGGAAAAATTACGTAATCAGGTTAGACAAAGAATGCCTGATCATCCGGTTGAAGCTATGCGATCTAACATGCGTAGGGAGTTGGAACAGAAATTGGAATCAACGCGAATGAAAATCATAGGGACGGATTCAGTCAACCCTAGATCGGAAGATAAAATACAGCACAAAGTGAAAAAGACGCCCAGCAGTGTTTCAGAATCGCGTTCCACCCTGTCGGATTCGACCAGAAGTCAAGATGACAGTGTGAGTCAGAAAACAACCGAGGAAGAAAGTGAGTTTGAACGAAGCGGTCCGAAAGGGGAACAAGTGAAAGAAGATAGAGAACCTAAGGGATGGTCAAATGGCACAAATGAGACTAGCGTGACCAGTAATCAACAGACTGATAAAATACTCCATCATCAACAGGATTCATCTTCGGATAATTCAAATGTGTCGATAATTGACGAGGAAACTGAGGCACAGAATACCACAGGTGATGAATCTAACACAATAACAACACGAGTATCAGACGGTGGAGCAATTCACGATGAAGAAGATGTGGATGAGGAAAGTGAACAGACCAGTAGGATAGCAGCTGCTGACACCGACCAAGAAGATGTGGAGGAAGAAGAGGAAGTAGACGACGAGGTAGAGGAGGAAGAGGAAGAAGAGGAGGAAGTAGAAGAGGAGAACACTTTGGAAGAGGAGGAGGAGGAAGAAGAAGAAGAACTGTCCAAGACGGATGAATCGTCAAAAACCGAAGGTCGCATAAGCACCAGACCAAGAGTTGTACAGTTTGGCAAAGTTTCACGCAGATGATCATGGATAAATTGGATAGATTTTTATCGACTGCATTCATGCCCGTTACTCTATTTTCACTGACTACAACAAGCATATTACAGTAAATCGTCCGGCAACAGTCTACCGCATTGAAATATATAGGATACGCAAATATACACTTCCCACCAACACTGTGAACAATAGGCACGGGGTATACAGGAGTAGAGTTTCAATAAACAAGTGGTTCGTAAAACCAAGAACAATTCACGGTTGAAAAGTAAATTTCGTGCTAAAAATCTTTGTGATATAATCATTCGCGAACCCTATAATTGTAAGAAGGTTTTAGTTATGAATATTTTTTTAACAAATTCATTTTATTTTGATATCCAAAATCTGCATTTGAATAAAACAGCATTATCAAATGTTTATTTTACTTATCCTGCGATATATATATGTATATATTGTTGTAGAGCATACATCTATCGGTTATCTAATTGTAATATCTGAGATTGTGGATCACATGTTTTGCCAAAACGTCCTTGGGGGTCGAATGTTAGATACAGTAATTTGGTTGCATGCCTATTTAGAGCCTCGAGTTTCGGAAGAAGACCTGAATGGTGTCTCTGGATTACACTCAACCGACCGGTATTCAGGTATTTCGGGCACACCGTCAATGATGATGGCGAGGAGTCAGTGGATTGATTCATTACAACCAGACTGTTCCGGGTCCTAAGGTTCGAGGTTCGAATCCTGTATTCTCTTTCTTCACCCAATGATGGTGGAGAGCAGCTTTGCTGTTTTCTAATTTACTGACATTGAGGAACCATATTTCGTCACTCTATGTATCATCCTTCGATTGACAATTCAGAATACTGAACAAAGCTTTCGGGCAACTCCGGGTTTCAACCTTTCTACAATGTATTGAAATCGCATGCAGCACAATTTCATGGTTTATTTTTTAGACCGTCTAGCTGAATTATTCACTCTCCGCCTCTAAACTCCTTAAGATCTTTGCTTGCCTCAATGTGAGTGTTACAAGTGAAAGGTTTGTTTGAGACTAAAATTTATCACCTGTCCGAGACTACACCATGTGACTGACCTGCTATTCCTACCAGGCTGGATAAATGATAGCTCTCATGTGCCTACCAGATATAATGTCCACCTCTTTGTGTGTCCACTCCACCCCAACTCCGTAAATAACCCACTCATGTTATCAGAACGGTCCAGTACAATCAGGGCAGATTTATGTGAACAATGACTATTTTACATAAACACGTTTGTACAACACAGGATGGTCAATTTGCCAGGACCGGGCGTTAAATGGCGGTACATTGTGAACGGCTGAGCTGTCAGCAAAATAGAAAGTGAATCGGTGATTGGTTTTCAGTTATACATAATCTCAAGAAGTAATGATTTCAAAAGCCGCGCCTCATAAGTCACCGTGTTCTGACCCGGATGTAGTTTGACCGAATCCAAAGGTTGTTCAATGAACGCTTTCACATCTCGTCCATAGACTAACGGAATAGACAAAAGAGGAATACCCTGAGTTAGGTGGAAATAAATTCATACAAAATAAAAACTGTACATTATATTGCTGCTCTGACTGGCTTGAGACGAAGGAAAATGAAGGAAGCGAACAACGAAAATATCGATATAACTGCACAGTCAAACACCCTAATGATTGAAATAGCTTTACTCGGTGCCTGAAGCGGTTTGAGGTGGCAACCGATGCGTCAGTGTAATCAAGAAATTCAAGATCATTACTCAATCAAGCATAAAACAACCATAACCGACACGTTGAAATTCATGAAAGCTGATCTTTAGTAGTTAGTGCTAAATCAACCAACCGAGGCCGAGCAATCACAAAAAAACTGTCTACTATCTGCGTAACTGGGTAACTACGTACCCAACAACCTGTATAGGCAAGTGACATTTCGTAAACTGTCTCCAAGTTACTGCATATTATGTGTCAAGTTAGTCGTTGATAAGACTATTTGCAGCTTAGCCACCATATCCAACAAGCGAGTGAACAAAAATGGGGTCCGTCATCTTTACAACATTCCACATATAGTGAGTGGGTCATGGTTATATTCACAACTCGGGTCAGTTGTGGTTAATCAACCCTCGAATATAACACCAGTCAATGGGTTTCGCGTTCCAGTTTCTAGACAATGAACTACAGGCTAAAAGTATCCACCACTCGAAGGCCTGGTGGTTCAAACATAAGCCCTGTGACTGGGATAACAGCAGCGGTGATTGACTGATGCCCGTTTAACCAAAGATTTGTTTATTCACATATTATTTAATCACACTGAATTCTTTCAACAACTGAATCGCTACCTCTGTGGCCTTCTTCCTGAATCGCGTTGATGGGAGATTCCGGTATACGATTAGCAGCACGATTCCATATTCCATCTACAACACAGCTTATCAATAGTCTAAGGAGAATGACATTGAATTTAATGCTTCTAAATGCAAAGTCCTATCCCTGCGCCACAAGAGAAAATTCTCGTATTTCCTCGGGGATCAGCAGCTACCACA